CTAATTTTTATGGTGCAAATAAGGCATATGTATTTTATATGATTAATACACTCCATTAATATACGACCAATCAGCTAGGTGATTGTTTCAAATTCTAACCAATCAGATGATTTTTTTATCTGATTAAATGCTAGGTAGCTTTTTACAGCGATAAAAATGCGTGTAGGAATACGTAAAATATGTAGTGGTTGTAAAATTTACTGTCTTTTATTAATCTCCCTAAAATACACTCGACCTTGGTCAGGATAATTTTATTTTTAATTCACTCAAATTTTGTTGCCTCCTGGAAAAAACTCTCGATCAAAAGCATAATATTAATAAAATCGCTCCAGCTAAAACTGTCGCGATCACACTTTTGGTTTCGAGTTTTTTCCGTTGCAACAAAACTTTCGTGTAAAAATAAAATTATGCAATTAAAAATCAAGCTCTTGTGTATTTACTCACTTATAATTGCACAAGAGGTTTGTATTTTCCCGAGTAAATTTGGGTTGTTAAGGTAATGAAAATCTGTTGCCTAGCAATTAGACGAGAAAAACTGTCAACTAATAAAAATGCGACACCGCAGGTGGAGCATTTTTAGGTTGACAGTTTTTCGAGTTCAATTGCTAAAAGGAAACAGATTTGAATTGCAACAACTCGGTTTAAATACAAACCTCGAGTGTAATTCGGCAGGACAATTTAACGAACAAGAAATTCACCAAACTAATTAATTATTGACAGACGTCAAACTAGTCATATGGGAAAGGATAATGCGATAATTGGTTCGAAAATGAATAGTGAAAAAACCACTAATGCATTTGTCGCTGGAAAAGTTGCAGGTAACTTTTGGCGCTGTCAAAGTGACAATTGCACTGCGGCTTATGCGATTTTTTATACATGAGTTGAATTGTCTCGATAAATTATATACCTATGTACGTCACGTCGACTACTATCTAAAGGTGTTTTTTTAACAATACATATTTACCAACATTCACACAATTGACGCGCCTGTAAACCCTTAATGTGACAAATAATTTACAACTTTTGCGCATTCATAAAGGATTTAAGTAAGTTTGTACCTGCATACCTCACCGTCAGTTTACTTCGAAATGAAGGGTTACAATCTTGCTACTTTATATACAAATTTTAGTATTTTTATTGGAACTTTTTACTTTAAACAGAACGATCAATCCAAAAAGTAAAGGATTTCAAATTGAAATAATTTGATTATTATTTCCGACCCTAAGAGGAACAGATTTGCACATTCGGGTTTAAAAAAGGTAAAGAGCTTGACCATCCCAGATGCGGTGTCTGTCCGTTATCACAATAGTTCGATAACGAATGGACCGATTACGATGAAATGTTGTAGTTGGATTCTTTATCAAATTTGTAGATCGAAGTTCATGAATTGGTAATGTATCCCAAAAGATAAGTAAGGCCCTTTTGACATCTGCGTGAGTTTTGAACCGAATTGCATAAAATTCAATATTCGTATAGCTTAAGCTATATAACACGCAATTCCAAAAATTGAGCCTAATCTATCAACATTCACAGTGCCCTTTTCGCATCGACGTGTAAATAAATATAGAAAACGAGCTCCTGGGTATGGCTACAGCATGTGCAAAACCAAATTTTGAACTTGGTGTTAGTTTTGCTTTAATTTAAAGTGTATATATGTATGAAATTTCATTTAATTGCTTCCATAAATAAGAAAATTGGCACCACACATCATGCACATAACCAAATTTTGAAACTGACGTTAAATTTACTTTTATTCCAAGTGGCTATGTATCAAATTTCTTTTAAATGCTTCCATAAATAAGAAAGTTTTCAATCCGGTTTGTAAATGGTCGAGATGCGAAAAGAGCACTGTGAATGTTGATCGATTAGGCTCAACTTTTGGACTTGCGTTTTATATGGCTAAAGCTGTACGCATATTGAATTTCATACAATTCGGTTCATAACTCACAGAGATGTCAAAAGTGCCTACTTTATTTTTTGGTCTACATTGCCAATTCACGAACTCCGATCTACAAATTTGATAAAGAATCCATCTACAGAATTTCATCGTAAACGGTCAATTCGTTATCGTTATCAAGATATCGTGCTAACGGACAGACGGACAGACACCGCAAAATTATAAACTCGCTAGGATTTATAATTGCGCTAGGTTAACTTGAGCGCTAGGTCTACAGAACAGAAAACATCAAATTTTTACCCGAAAAGACAAAATGGTGGTGCCCCCTCCCCCCACACTAGTGGACGGTGATGACAGCTCTAAAATTTGTGGCGCTAGCTGGCGCTAGGTCTGACGAACACAGCGCTTGCTTTTGGAAATGATCGGACGCAATGGTGGTGCTGGCGTTAACATAGCACCCCCCGAAAGTCAAGGGCTTTTCTGCAAAATCTATAATAGCGCTAGCTGAACTCAAAGTGGCGCTAGCTAGAGATTCTAGCGCAATCTGTCTTTAGTCAAAAATTTGAAATGGTGGTGCAAGTTAACGGAGCCATTCTAGCGCAATCTGTCTTTAGTAAAAATTTGAAATGGTGGTGCTAAGTTAACGGAGCCAGGAAAACGACTAAGCTTGAAAATTCTTTCCAAAGAAAATTCCTCGTGTGCTTAAGGGTACAGAGCTGGGCAGTATTCGATTTTGTAAATACTTTTTAGTATTCAAATCCTTTAAAGTATTCAAATACTTTGTAATTAAATACTTTTATGGAAGCTGTATTTGTATTTCTAACTCAAATACTTTCACAAATATTTAGTATTCGAATACTTCGCAAAGTATTTGGATACTTTGTAAAGTATTCGAATACTTCGCAAGGTTTTTGAATACTTTGAAAAGTATTCGAATACTTCGCATAGTATTTGAATACTTTGGGTATTTTTTACCAAAAATCGACTACTCCAAAATTTCTCGGGAAAACACTTTTTCTTATTAATTTTGGTGCGTAGAATCCAAAACGATTCGTATTTTTTCGATTAGACTTCTCAATGAAAAGTTATGGACTAGAAACCAATTTCGGAAGAAAATTCAAAAGGCTGTAACTTTTGAACTAGTAGCCCAATCTTGGAACTGTTTGAAATTATGGATTCTACAGGCCACATTCTATAAGAAAATTTCTTTTCCGGGTCGATCTGAGACAATTTTTTTTTTCGGGCCTCAAAAAAAGGTGTAAAAAAAAGTGTATAACCTTCCTTTTTTACCAAAAATCGACTGCACCAAAATTTCGCGTGATAACACTTTTTCTTATTAATTTTGGTGCGTAAAATCCAAAACAATTCGTACTTTTTCGATCAGACTTCTCAATCAAAAGTTATAGACTAGAAACCAATTTCGAAAAAAAATTCAAAGGGTTGTAACTTTTGAACTAGTAGCCCAATCTGGGAACTGTTTGAAATTATGGATTCTACAGGCCACATTCTATAAGAAAATTTTTTTCCGGGTCGATCTGAGACAATTTTTTTTTTCGGGCCTCAAAAAAAGGCAGTGTATAAACCTTCCTTTTTTACCAAAAATCGACTACACCAAAATTTCTCGGGAAAAGACTTTTTCTTATTAATTTTGGTGCGTAGAATCCAAAACAATTCGTACTTTTTCGATCAGACTTCTCAATCAAAAGTTATAGACTAGAAACCAATTTCGAAGAAAAATTCAAAGGGCTGTAACTTTTGAACTAGTAGCCCAATCTTGGAACTGTTTGAAATTATGGATTCTACAGGCCACATTCTATAAGAAATTTTTTTTCCGGGTCGATCTGAGACAATTTTTTTTTTCGGGGCTCAAAAAAAGGCAGTGTATAACCTTCCTTTTTTACCAAAAATCGACTACACCAAAATTTCTCGGGAAAACACTTTTTCTTATTAATTTTGGTGCGTAGAATCCAAAACAATTCGTACTTTTTCGATCAGACTTCTCAATCAAAAGTTATAGACTAGAAACCAATTTCGAAAGAAAATTCAAAGGGCTGTAACTTTTGAACTAGTAGCCCAATCTTGGAACTGTTTGAAATTATGGATTCTACAGGCCACATTCTATAAGAAAAAATTTTTTCCGGGTCGATCTGAGACAATTTTTTTTTCGGGGCTCAAAAAAAGGCAGTGTATAACCTTCCTTTTTTACCAAAAATCGACTACACCAAAATTTCTCGGGAAAACACTTTTTCTTATTAATTTTGGTGCGTAGAATGCACAGCAACCAATTATACATGCTGTAGTTTATGTGTTTCGTAAATTTTTGTACAGGCAGGTAGACGCCACTTCATAAAATATATTGTTGTGACATCTCACGTTATTTTCTTGAACATTGCGCCACTTGTTACCAATAAATACAGCGCACCATCATAATGTTGCATGCTTAGAGAAGGAAAGAGTCTAAGGTTGCATGATATTCGCACAGTGTCGCCACCCCATGATAGAAAACTGCACCAAACGGTAATTTTCTGCACTTGACTTCAGTTCAGAAAACTAACGTTAGATGTCAGAACGATATATTTTTTAAAATTGCAGGGCCCCCCGTAAAACGCGCGGAAAAAATGAAAGCCTTCGTGTTATAAAAACTCCATTTACTTATTTCAATCATTTTAAATTTAATGAGCTTCAAAATTTCAATATAAATACTTCAAACATCATATGGTGTGCGTTTAGAATGTGTGTGTGCATGAGTGAAATTGTTCAATGAGCAACTAGTAATTGTACTTGAACTTCAATTCATTTGTGTTAAGTATTTAAATATGGTTGGTTGTATGACTTCCTTTATGTAACAGTGACTTGCGATGTCTGGGTGCTGTCTTTACAAATGCACTCGTCAAGCCTTCAATCCACGCTAACTGCCTGAAAAAGTACGCTGTTCTTTTCCAGGTTTGAGAGAGCAGAGGTTTATGGCCCACTTTTGGCAAACATTCTTCTTTGAGAATAGTAAGGTGTTCCCGGTTTGTTTCCTGTGCAATGCTACAGTGCCCCTCATTGCCTCCTTTTCCACTCCCAAGTAAAAGTGTTGATTACACAAATACTAAAAATGTATGTAAAACAATTGTTTAATTTCATCAACAAATACAATTAAATAATATTGCAACAAATATTAAGTTAATTGTAATGTAGAAAAAATGCATAATACTAAGTTTGCATAAACTGCCATTAGAAAGAAATAACAAGAAGTAAACTTTGTGCATTACAATGTAGGATATAGAAATAAAATTAATTTATTTATATCATTGTGATGCAGCGAGTTAATGAAGAACAGAAATAACACTACCATTTGTAACCAAGACGTTTAAAGGAAATATTAAATCGGCTTTGATTAGAAATAACAAATGTATGTCCAACACAGTGGATGGAACACAACCGTGGATCATTTTGTTTAAAAAGTGCACTTGACTTATACATCTTGAAGTTCGCTCGGAAGGTCACTCTTTGGATGTTTGTTTTGAAAATGTTGCTTATAGGTCTTGGGATCTGGCATTTGGGCCTACGGATAGTATAACATTAGCTTCACCTCGTACCACAGGTTAAATACTCACCTTGCAAACGGTGCACACAAAAACAAGGGCTGCTTGTGCCGCCTTTTTTTGTGTGTTCGCATTATGACCCTGCTGCTTTTTTTGTTTGGCTAATTTTTCTTGCGCTTTAGCTTGAGACTGCAGTTTTTGTTGACCTCTTGCCATCGTTTCAAGTACCTCTATAAAAAAAACATCAAGTTCATAACCTATAAAAAGCACGTTAGGTTTACTAGAAAAATATCACAATTTATGACATAAATAATGTTACCACTTATTTAAATATTTATTTATTAGTTCATTTAAGTATTTTCGGCTCCTAACACTAAGGTTTTAACCGTTCTAAGACACCAGATGTTAATAAAAAACACTTCACTTGGCACTTCCGTTATCCGACCCGTTTCCTTAGGTTCGCTCACAAATTTTAATTTATATCACTTTGGGTAACTAAACTACTCTCAATGTACTAATACTGGACAAAACAAAATTTAAAAAAAGGGTCATTTAATAAAATTAAAGAGGAGAAATACTTTTCGTGTCAAAATTTGAAGAAGATGAGGGAAGTAGTAGCTAAATCAGCGATCTTCACTGCGTTCATTGTACCGGTGCGCACTACTGCCAATGATGAAATATATAAATTACTAACATTACTTTATACAGGGTCGGAGTAAGTGAATAAAATCTCTTGTGCCATATCGGAGAAATCGGGACGCCATCATTTTAGAGCGACGTCAGCAAGCGCGGAGCCAAAGTTGCCAAACAAACGCGCTTAATGGATGGAAAGACGCGTATTATTTCGGAGCGACGCCTCATAGAAGACACGGACTCAAGACGCCTTATCGCCGCCAGGGCGCCATTATTTCGGAGACGTTAAGTCAAACACGCGAGCAAGCTCACCAAAACTTGCGAAATTGTACAAATTGGGAACGACGCGCTTAGTCGGCGCAAAGGCTCTAAAGCCCATAGAAGCGAAGACGCTCAGCACTCGGATCGGCCGGCCCCTCAATGGTGAAGACGCCAAAAACATTGCTTAAACGGCGCGAAGACGCCCACGAACTCAAGGAAACGCCTTATTATCGACGCAAGGGCGCCATCATTTCGGAAAGACGTAGATGAAACACGCCAGGACGCCATTATTTTGGAGAGGCGTTAAGTCAATGACGCCACCACTTACGAAATTGCACAAATTCGAAACGACCCCCTTAGTCAACGCGCGTATCGTTTTTGTTTTGCTTGTGCAATCCTAACTTGTTTATTTATGAAGATATTTAAATGAAACTATATTTATATTACACTACGAATACAAGTGAAACAAAGTTTTCAAACGATTGCTTTGCACATGCGCAGTGCCAACTTTCCTATTTACAAAAGCATTTAAATGCAATTAGATTCAGAGGCAGAGGCATAAAAGCAAATGTAACACTAACCATTTGATTTTGCGCATGCGCACTGCCAACAGTCTTATTTACTAAAACATTTAAATTAATTTTTTTTATATTTGTATGCGGTCCCACTATTAGGTGGTATCCCAACAGAAAAAAATATTTCAAAACTTGAGTGAAAGTTATAGCGCCCACGGACGGATGGATGGACGAACAATACAAAACTACCCTTAATAAAGCAAAGAAAAACAAACCAAAAAATCTTTTAATGGAAATCATACGCTTGACTCTGGCTTCTGCTTCGGAGCAAATAACAACACACATACCGGGTGGTGCACGGTAAGTAGGCAGATAGAGATTTAACATGAGAAATTAGTTTTATGCAGTATCCTGCCCTCATGTACATTTTACAAAAAAATGGAGGAATTGCATACAAGATAAGAAACCCACATCCGACGCCTGAAAGAGCATAAGGATTAGAGAAGAAATGGTGTCCTAGCCATTGTGGAAAAAGAGGCAATGAGTGGGCAAATAGCGCGGTTAGAGAAGCACCTTTCTCCAAAGAAATAGACTGGCAAGTGGTGTGTGTGGATGATGTTAAAGTGGAGGCTGCCACAATGGTTTGCAGATGAATCCTTTTTCAGTAAAATCAAAGTAGGCGTAAATACGAGGAAAATACCTTGTGAACAAGTTGCCCTCACAAGATTACGGCTAGGACATAATAATATAACATCAAGCCATTTATTTTTAGGAGCCCCTCCACTCTTGTACATGGAATGTAATTAGCCAATAAATGTCTCTCATATGTTACTTGCATGTAGAGTACATAAAAATTTAAGAATTTAAAGGAAACGATGGAAATAGTGTTTGAAAATTGATTGGATTTATTAAAGAAAGTAGATTGTCTTAAAACTATAAACACTAACGGCTAATACCTAATAAATATACAATGCTAATACCCATGCAGTTGATGCCATAGAACACAATTTAAAAAAATAATTATTTATTGCGCAATTTTTCTCCAATATCTTCTGTGGTTTCGGAGATCCCCATAGTAAACATTGGACACAGTGTATATTAGACGAACAGAGGAGTTAGAGAACTAGACAGCAAAGTCAGGTTCGACTCTTATCTCGCCAGGGCCAGATCATCTTTGGCGCGTTCACGTCCTAGGATCCACTCAGCCTCTAAAATTGAGTATCTGGAGTCTGGCGATTAAGAAGCATAACGCTGGTCACACTGTATCTGTCGAAGTCGTTCCACATACAGCCGAGTAGAATTGTAATCTTGTTGAAAGATTAAAAACATGTTCTAGGTTTCTTTCACTATTGTTGCTCAAGTGCTGCTCTCACACATTGATGGGATTACAACAGTAAAGAAAACGTAATTAGAGAAACAGAAAACGTTTATTACTGTTTTTAATGTGTACAACTCCGTACAGCTTTACACAATTTCCCAAACACGGATTTCAGAGTGATTCTATCTCGTAACGATAAAAGCACAAATTGTTAATTAGTGAATTACTTCAGAAATAGTGATCACTTTGAATTGTTGACGGCCACTTAGGGAAGCGTAGCATGGAGACCTATAAATTTATCACACTTTTACTTACTTCATGCTAGCTTCCTTAGTATGAAACAAATTTGAAGACATAAAGTACCGTTTAGTTCACTAATTTCGCATTAATTAACTGTAGTTAGTACGACAAGTTGTGTTAATATTCAATACATAACTGTACATTAAACACAAACACGGTAGAGCTGTTCCTTTTAAATAACTTATACCCCCTATCCTTCGTATCGTTTATCAGAAAATATATTAAATATGAAAACTTAAAACTACTGTATAGTACGACACATATTATTAAACATAATAAAATAGTACCAACTAATATTAGGTATGTACAAAATATTTATATTACTGTATATTAAAAAAATCATATAAATCGAATATTTGCATTAAATTAGTTTGTTAAAACGCCACATTTGATTCAAGCAGCCGTAATGATTATCTTACTTCCCAGTTTATTGTAAAAGGACTAGAGATTTTAAGTATTCTCACAACAATACTTAGAACATTGATTCGGTAACTATAGACTGCATCACTTAAAAACGTACAAATGTAAAAAATTAACTAGAAACTAGATTCGTCATTTTCACCCTACACAGTATTAGGAAAAATTACAAAAAATAGCTACATGTATAAATTATAGTACGTTAATTTATGCTTGGACAACAAGAAGTAAAGAAACTAAGCGAAGTACATTTGGTATGTGTCCTAGACTTAACGATAATAAACCTGGCAACCAACTCAATACTGTAAGAAGGTTTCATTAGACACAAAGAATTAGTACCTAACTTATTTGCTTACCCAAAATTGTTACTTAGGCCAGAAATTGTACAAAACCAACTTTTATCAATTTCGTTTTTATTTACAAATGTTGCCTTATAATTGAATATGTAGATTTCTTAATTTAATCGATTACAATTGTTTTGCAATTGTACGATCGAGTAAAAAAAAACAAATAAGATGTGGATATATTCGATAGCTGTCTCTCGGTTACAAAATCACAGAAATTTTCGACAGTCTTCGCAAATGTTCAAAGGAGTGTTTTTTTTTAATGCAAGTCGAATTTTACCTCCTAACGCTAAGAAAAATGAATTGTGCAATATTTGTGTGCATTATTATTTAAACCGTTCGCGCCTTTTGCTTATTACAATAACTGAGTATGCACGCTTCAATGACCCAGGCGACTCTGAATACTTCCACAATTATTTGTTAAAATGTTTTTGACGATATTATTATTGACCGCAATGTGCGAATAAACATGAAAGGTATAAGTAATATCAAAATGTATAGCTGCAAATAATATCAAAAGTTATTGAATATAAATTTAGCTGATCGGTAATTGTATAAAAATGTATTTACATAATTAATTTCGAATTTTTATAGTGACATTTATATGAAGGAGGTGCGCTCTGAAGTTCACATTTTACCATTAGTTTACATCTTCTTTGAAACTGCTCAGAAGTTAAACAGTGAATGGCGCCCTCTTTGAACACCACATTTAAATATTTCATAGATTTCTGAATCGGAGCAAGACAGTAAAATGTGAACATAGCGTCCCGCAAAATAAAACAACCATTGTTCAAATCAATAGTCACAATTATCAACCGATAAACGAGAAAAAACATGAAGTCATACATAAAACATTAATTTTACATCGATCTAAGAAAACAATTAAAAAACATCAACCGACATTCCTTGAATGAAAGTAGTTTAAAGAGCTACAGTTAATTTGCATCTCAGCAATAGCCGATGACTAGGGCACAACATTTGGGGGGAAATACATCTATTATTAGTTAACATACCTGTAGGTATTGTAAATGGTTGTAAGCTGTTGTGTAAATCAAGCCCGATTTCAGGCATCCGTCTCACCACCTTTTAAGCGTAATCTTGCAAAATCTTCAAATATGATATCATCGTCGTGATCTTGAGCGCTCTCTATGTCACTAAATTTGAGGTTAGTATCACAACGTAAACCATTAAATACTTACGCGTCTAACTGTATGAGATTTGTATCGACGGGAACGTCGCCCATCTCCTTATTACCTCGATGTGATGGTGACGCCATGCCCAAAGAAGTAATCTCCTCTTCAGGTTTCGGATGCATAAGAATAAATGGCAATTCTGCTACCAAATCTCCACCCAACGCGCCCAAGCAGAGCTTTACTTTGACTTTATACTGCACTATAATACCCAAATTCTCACGCTGTGTCGGATCTGCTACCCTAAATTCACACAATGCAAGACTAAATTACGAACGTAACAGAATAATGAAGGGGTGTAGCTGTTGGGACTGAATCTCACAAAGGACATACTTACAAAGTACTCGACGCTAAATTGGTATCTTCATGTTTAAGTTGCCCATCTAGTGCTAGGCCCCATTTATCTTTATTATTTGCCAAAAGAGGTGTAAGCGTAAAAACTTTACTTAATGTGAACCCTGGACCGATCGGACAACCATCTCTAAATAAATACGATTTAAAGCTTCGCAAAAACGTAACAGGTGCGCCAACTTACTCGCTCTCCGCTTCAGCTACAGTACACTTATATTGTGCAGTCGAGAATAAACAAATATCCGCAAACTGCCGAACGGACACTTTAATTTTTTTAACTGTTCGATTCGAATTATTCGCTATGTGAACATTCACGGCGATATTCTCACCGTGATGGTAAAGCTCTTTGTCTAACGATGTTTCTAAATGCAATTTGTTCGGGCTCATCATAAAATCTTTACTAACTTCGGTGGACGGCTGCTCGCCTTGCTTACTTGGTGCATACATTATTTTACGAATAGCTAATCTAAAATTTGAGATGCTCAGAAAGATTAATTATTTCAATCGGTGGCCCACGCATAAAATTTTAGGGATGTTGCAGTCAAGTATATTCAAATCTTATACGTAGGCCCCTTCTATGTAATTGATACCCACCTTACTGAATTTCTTTTATGAGGTTTGTCATCTTGGGATTCGCCCACAAACGCTTTAAGTTCATAATCGACACCGCAAGGTTTACCTGTATCTCCTGGAGCAGGCTGTAATGTGACCGATGCAGGACAATGTGGCGGTAATTCAAAATAAAACGGGTAGGCGTTTGGTCCCAATTTCTTAATTAACCGTTCCTACTTATTAACGTTTTATTGTACAACTTTTATAATCGTCCGGAACGTTACCTGCAGTCTAGTTAAAAGCCTTTTATTAACCACATTCTCCTGTGGGAAAATTTGCTCGAAAGCCAAATATAAATCTTTTCTAAACGTAAGACCCAATACATCTAAATCTTCTCTACCGTATCGAAATGCCGCCAATACGTGACCAAAAACCTTGCGGTCCTTCACATATTCGGGATCGATCAGTACGACACCATCTGAAGGAGAAAGACATTTTTCACCTACTTTTATAAACTGCATTTCCAGCAAACATAGTTCATTCAGGGGTTTAAAAAATCTACATTTCAAATTGCTAGTAAAACCGTACCACTCGTGCGAGTGGCATATATCTTTAAATCCATGTCAATTTTCATTCAAGTTGGATTGCACATGTGCAATCCCAAGATTAAATCACGTGCGCAAATCGAATTTTTACATGGGCACTAGATTTACTTTTCGTACTCGAAAAATTAATAAAAAATTAATTTTTTAAAACAATTTTACCAATTTATTATTTGAGCAACTTAAACTTAAAAAAACTAAAACAGGTGTGATCTTCCGCCGTCTTTTTTCGTTGTTCACAATTAGCAACAAATTCAGCTATTCATAAATTGTTGTTGTTGACTTTAATATACAAAACAATTTTACGTAATGATAATTTAAGCGACAAATTGTTTATGTAGAGGGTGGCCAAACAAGATTACTAAAACGGCCACGAGAAAAACCTGGAAAATATTTTTAAGTTTCTGCAATGGCCGCTAGGGGGCGTAACTGCAATCTGAAATCTAAAAAAGTGATGTTTCTGTGAATTCCGCTAAATTAACCTAACAAAAAAATGTCCGGCTTTGAAGTTGACGATAATCTGAACCTCTTTTGGTTGACAATTTTTCCTGTATCTCTAAAAATGAAGTGGTGGGGGGTATTCAAAGGTTTCCGTAAAGAACACCCTGTATCTTCGAAACGGCCGAGCCGATTTAAACAAACTCGGGTTAGTTCAAAAGAGCTATTCTTCAGCTACAAATATTATACTATTTGAAGTTTTGTTAGTTTCACATATCACCGCTTGAGGGCTTATTTCGACATTCCGACAGAAATGGTTAATTTTCTCCAAAAAATTAAATGCATTGGTTCGATTTTTTTTTCATGAAAAAGTAGCTAAATGATGCCTAAACAAGCTCGCGAAAACAGCATCCAGATCTAGCGGCCATTGCAGAAACTTAAAAATATTTTTCAGGTTTTTCTCGTGGCCGTTTTAGTAATAAATTTTTTTACCGCAAGGCTCTACGATGGACAGGTTCCCAGATACAGCACCTCGCATTCTTATTTGGCCACCCTGTATATTAAGAAATCAAAACTGCAATTTAAGAGTGTGGATTCAGTATCTTTCAGTGTTTATAATTAGCAACAAATTCAGTTATATAATATAAATTGTTGCCGACTTTAATATACAAAACAATTTTACGTAATGATAATTTAAGCAACAAATTGTTTACGTAAATTAAGAAATCAAAAAGCAGTTTATGAGTATGGATTCAATATCTTTTCAGTGTTTATAATTACCAACAAATTCGGATGTTTATAAATTGTTGTACAATTTAATATACAAAATAATTTTACGTAATGATATTAATTTGAGCAACAAATTCAGTTATTAGCGCATTTTCCAACTCATGTTAGAAGGCGATACGATGGCCACTTTCTCCATCCGTCCGTCCGTCCGAAGCGTAACTAGTCCTACAGTTTTCAAGATATTTAGTTCGTTCTTTTTGCATTCGATAGCTTATAGCTATGGCACCTCAACCACGAAAATTTTGGGGTATGTCCTTTCCGACTTTGCAAAAAAATGTTTAAAATTCCTACCACGAAGGCCGCGTCCCTAATTGGAAGTGCAAAAAAATTTTTGATTCCGACGAAATTTGGTTTCTGTGGGTTTTTGAACATAAAAATCACGAATGTGAGACTATATAGTTACTAGTTTTTTGAAAATACGAAAAAAAAATTCCACTGCAATTCTTAGTCGGCCAACTGAAATGGAGAGAATTTCACGAAATTTATTGTGTACATACTTGATGAGTTAAACCCATCGATTAAGTACCTCAAACATGAAGTTTGCTCAGTTTTAACGATCATTTTGGGTCAGCGAGGCCCAACATCTTGATTATTAACGAAATTGTTAAATGCAAAGAAAAATCAAACTGGCTCTGTTGACAGCCCTTCAATATTATGTGCGTGTGTTAAAAAAATTAATTACCAATGCGCTGACCCAACTTTCTTACTTACTGACGCATTTTTCTGAAAATTTTAAGGGAAGGTCTGTACTTTCTAGAAAAATAAATTAAACACATCAAAAAATAGACTTCGCATCCACAGATTAAACCGCGCAAGAAAATTATTACGAATGCGCAGACTTAAATTTCAGCCGAAAGCTTCGTGTCTTACTTGTGGGACCTTTTGCTGAAAGTTTAACCGCTTGTGCAACTCATAAAATCAAATTGGAGATAAATGCCCAAAAAACGTTCGTACAATACATGAAATTGACTTGTCTACCGATCAGCACGCTTTTCTGAGTGGCATGGAGGTTATTAACACATTACAGTTCCAGTTTCTTCCAAAATTTTAAAACTGGGGGGAAGGGGAAAGAAAAAATAACCGTTTGTAGCTGAAAACAAATTTGGCCGGGCCGTGTGGCGCAGTTCAGTTAAAGCTGGACTGTAGTGCTAGGGTCCCTGGTTCGAATCCGGGTTCGGGCATGGATATTTGTAAATGTATAGTGGGTTGGGTTGGTAGAGCAGCCTTGGCTGAAACCCCGCCCACTCAAAAGAAAATTAAATAAAATAAAAATAAATAAAATATATTTGGCTTTCAGAGTGTGAATGTGGAAATGCGCTTTTTGCTTTAACTTCGTAGCTTAGGCCGTTGTTCCAGAATGCAGTAAGGGAAATACTGCGACAGCGAACAATGATACTTATCCACTACCTTTTGTAACGTTAAAACGGGAGCGAAATCTACAATACGAGCAATAACACCAATCACTGAACAAAAAAAAAACGGCGAGCGCGAGTTTCGATCTAACCGAAGATTGTTGCTAAATTTAACGTCAAGTTTGCTTCTTTGTATTATGAAACTATGTTTGCTGAGTGTACTGGCATGCATCTAAAGTTACACTATCTATTGATTAGTTTACAAGCGGAGAATTTGTAGAAGCTATAAATTAGAAGCACTTACCAATAGGGTCCACATGTGATATATGATCTACAAAGTCTCTTTTTCCTAGATAAACCGTTATCTGTAAAAAAACTCGAATGAGTTAAAATGGAATGAAAAGGAGGCAGCTAAATTACCTTTCCATTTGGAGAACTCTTTTTAAATACCCTGAAAACATAACGGCTAAATAATTATTTTTGAGAGCTAGACAAACAAACCTAGTAGCCTGCCGCCTACCGCTCGCATCGTCCATATCTGAATTTGAAAGTGCCAGGATGAATTCTGTCGTATTCTGACTACGTATGTGAAGGCACTAAGTGCCCCACGAAGCAATTATAAATTCTGAAAAGAAAGTCACCCCATCAAACACGGCGTTCAATTTTGCTAGTTTCAGCTCGTGTGAAAAGACCACAAGAGGGCTTTGAACGGTTTGAAAATGCTCTAATTAACGTTAACTTGCTTCGATGCCAATTTTAAAGGGCACTTTATTAGGTTAAAATCAATTTAAGACGGTTTGCCTTAGTTCACAAACACTGTTAACGTTTCCGTTAAAACTAATTTTATTACTCGACAATCAATACTCTCTCGATTTTACCGTCAATTTCCTCGTGTTTCTTAATAGAGGCGAAGCAATAAAGCTGTTGGGGCAGAATTTGATGTTTATGGATACTTTCAATTATTTTACCCTGGCGAAAATAAACGCCTCGAACGAATTTGCAATTTTGGACGAAGGTTAAGGATAAAAGAATTAGCAAGGGAGCGAGAGTTTACTGAAGATGATAGCTTTTCTATTGAGGGACATATACGTGGATGATGTGTTAATACTTGCAGAAGTAGGGGCGGAAAGTGGTAGTGCTCGATCAAAACCAAAGCATTTCTGCACCGCCTGCAAGTGAAGACGGGCACATTACGTATACGAAGGGATAGGGAATTAGTACTAGAAAACTTTGCTCTCCGAGGAAACTCATCGCCAATCTTACCAATTTCCCCGCCCATCTTTAATGTAATTTTAAATCGAGTTTACGTGGAAATGTGGTTTTTTTTGCGAAGCAAAAATTAAATACGTCAAAGATGGGTTTGGCGTAAGACTTGCGTAATTAAGTTGCAGGTTGAGTAATAAGGGAAAAAATTCAATCTCGCAGAAATGAACACCGCTGCACTGACGCGGCAGGAATATTTAAATTAGATTAGACGTCACTCGACGTTTATTTTGTTAAAGTTTTTCGCCTTTACTTCGATTTCGTAGAAAATGCTGACACTTTTCAATTCCAAGTTTTGCTAAGACGTTGTAATTATTTTTGCTAAATAATTACCGCTTCTAGGAACAATGTCAAAGGTGGAGGGAGGGATGCAGGAAAATATGAAATGAAATTAGGAACACATTTTTAGTGATTAGGTTTTTTGAATGAACAAGAAATTCCTACTCAAAGACACCCCAATCTAACGACGGCACACGAAAATTCCGTTATCGAATCGAGAGCGCGTCAAAAAAAATCCACAAACCGCAAAATATTCATAGGCATTACTTATGTAGAAGGTATGACAGCTTTCTTTTAAAATGTGTAGGGCAGACGTCAATAAACTTGGCACCCCACTTGTCCCCAATTTGAAATTAATGTGTCTATTATTTACGACTAATTAAAGACTAAATTTACATCCAAAATAGTTTATTGCTTTGAATCAATTTACTTAAATAAAGCGGGAACGTTTCATAATTCATACATGAAAATTATACATCGAAGTGGTCGAGTAAAACGTGGAAACAACATATTCCAAACACGGGGAAACAACACACTCAACTTTAGGAGAAAATTGAAAAAGATACATTCCCAAAATTACACATTTGAACAATTCAAAAATACCTACCCATAGATAATCCATTCTAAACGGCGAACCACAAAAAATCGAATTTTTCGTTTGGGCTATGGATCAAAAGTTACAGCCCTTTGAATTTTCTTTCGAAATTGTTTTCTAGTTCATAACTCTTGATTGAGAAGTCTAATCGAAAAAGTACGAATTGTTTTGGATTCTACGCACCAAAATTAATAAGAAAAAGTGTTTTCCCGAGAAATTTTGGTGCAGTCGATTTTTTGGTAAAAAAGGAAGGTTATACACTGCCTTTTTTTGAGCCCCGAAAAAAAATTGTCTCAGATCGACCCGGAAAAAAAATTTTCTTATAGAATGTGGCCTGTAGAAT